TTCCTTTCCTCGTATTAAATAGTTTTTGCTTTGAACTCTTTTCTTCATTTTAAGACTGTATGGAATAAAGAAGAAATATTTGCAATCTTTCTCAGCCACTGACAAACACACAGACGTCTCTGTCCTCCAGTGAGCCCCCCGACAAAACACCCAGACTTCCCCTTCCAATTCCCTCTCTTCCTGTCCACAACCTCCCCCTGAATTGAGCCCCTTGCAGTTCCCCTAAAAACAGATCTCTGGAAGGGTAAAAGCAGGAGCAGGAGGAGGAGCAGGAGGAGGAGGAGGAGGAGAAGACGTTTGGTCTGGCTGCTCTGGCTTCTAATCTCTGCAACACATCACAACCTCCAGTCTTCCTACCCTACCCTACCCTCCTCCTCTTCCGTCACAGTCATCTGCATGCCCCCTTTCCTCCAACCTCAAAACACACAAGGTCCCTCAACTTTTCCCTCCGTCTACCCAGCCCACTTGCAGTCAGTCCCACGCTCTGACAGCAGCATGTGAGCGGAGTTGCCTCTCAGTCTAGTGCATCAACATGAAAACACACAGTGACACTACTCACAGGGGCACAGGATTCTCAAAGAGCCACAAACGAGCAGAAAACCATTTTTATTTTACTTTGCATTTATTAGACTTGTTTTTAGAATGCAGAAAACAAATAGCCTTCATCAGGGTCATGGAATGGGATCAGGGATGACCCTGATGAAGGCCACAAGCCAAAATTTGATTCCAAAATTTAAAAGAGAAAAAGATAGATTATCTAAGTTATTTTTTAATAACCATCCCTAAAAGTTACATTTTTTTTTACAAGTAGCAACCATAGACTGTAAATATTAATGGACGAAGCCTGAGTGATGTCAGACGTGTGTTCCTGCAGGGGGCTCCGGAGCTCATCAGCGGCAGCCGCCATGCTGGAAATGCTGTCTTACTTTTAGTCAACCCAACAACAGGCTGAGAGCTGGAACTGAGGCAGATTTTTAATCTTATGACAAATCGTCACATCTGCCTGTCAATCATGTCAACCTCGCGCCTAACTATGCGTAACGCATATCGTTCAATCAAAATGGATGTCTTGTACTTGACTTGTTGGACAGTGTGTGCCCATGAGGAAAAATAACTAATTAGACCAATATCGGTTTTTGTTCCAGGGTGTATGTGATTTCCAGGGCTCGTTGAGCCAGCCTCAAGCCGACACTGGAAGAATGCCTTTTTTCTTTTTCTTAATTTTTGTACAAGAGCTCCCTGGAAACTCTGCTTATTTGTTTGATAGATACTTATCACCATCATTGGACAGATCTTATCTATAATGATCTGATAAAACAAGCCCAACACATGAAAGAATTCTTAGAGGGGTAATTGGTTAGTGTTTTGAATTTTCCTCATTTAAAATAAGGCCAAGAGTAAATCTCTCTGTAATACAATGTGCCAAAGGACCAACGGAAAACGGCATTCTCCATAGAAACCCACAACAATATGCCCTGGGTTAGCCTTATGGGTGGCAGGGGTTGTGATGGGGGTTGTCTATTGTCAGTGAGCTGCTTGAATGACTGAGCATTATAGGCAGAGACTGCAAATCAAGTACTAAGCCCTCCCTCAAAGTCGACCCCACTGTCTGTACAAAATCCACAGAAAACCAGCCAACAAGGAGAGTGACAGGAGAGGCAGAGATTCCCACTGAGGCTCGGGGAGGGAAACAGAAGCCGTAACCATGGGAGGGAAGGGGGAGTGGTGGTGACTGTTTGTGAATTGAAAAAAGAGCGGGAAAAACAGTAGTGTGAGAAACAAGGGTGTGGAGAAAGGCTGGCAAGAGAACAAGACATCAACATGACAAACGAAAGAAAGTAGGGTAATGTGCTAATGTTCTCAAAAACACCCTCAGTTACACTGCAAACTAGTACCCTTACATCATTTTAGGTGTTGTGTGAGGGAAACTTTTGATACAAATCTGAGTCATCTCAAATCGCACCTGCTCACCAAGTGCATTGTAGTGTGACAGCCAGGTGGGAGTGGGAGACCCCCTGTGCCATGTCATTGTCTTCCAGTAAGCAACATCTCTTAATATGCAAACTCTGTTTATTTGTGCAATTGTTGATACCACCAAAGTTACTAATGTTTACATTTGTAACTGTATTTGTACCAATTTAATAAAAAAAGATGTATAATTGGAACAATAAGTTGTGCTTCTAGATAGTTTTGGTGCCAATGGACTGAGCCTTGAGCTGTCTGAATTTGACATCAAAATAATATCAATTGTTTGGACAATGGTGCAAAAGTGTCTGATATCATGAAGACTGTGTCTTTATAGTTTATATTTAATTCATGGGCCTTAATTGATATTTGCCGGCATTTCACTCTATCAGAACAGAAACAGAACATATTGATGTGCCAAGGGAATTTCAAATCAAAACCATTACAATATTATATGGATAAATATTACATTTTGGCATTAATGATTTTTCATTGGATGAATACTTCAGTCCAAAAAATCCCCAGGTTAACCCCGTCTAAAGTCTTTGTATCACATACTTAGTGAACCAGTTGTTTGCTGAAGCCAAATATTAAAAGGAAAAAGAGTAGTATTGATCTTTCCTTCTGAGTCACAGCAAGAAAGCAAATAAAGGAATTACTGAAAATGTCAAGGATTCCTTCAAAGGCGGCACCTGACCTCTACTGAAACCAGCATGAATTACAGAGACAGTCACTTCCTGTTTATAAGTGAAGAAAATGTATGTCAGGAAATATGAATCCCTCTATTAAGGTTAATAAGGTTAACCAAATTAAGCCCACATTTTTAAATGTGTGACGAGTCCTAGCTTTTTAAAACGGCAGTGAATAAACATCATATTAATTTACAGGCTGTTTGTGAGGGATACCTCAGGGTTAACACATCAAAATGGATTTGATTTGCTTTAGGCTCCAAAGCCTTGCACTCACTTTATCCCTCGACTGGTGCTAAATTCTCCTGAGCCATTGTTTCCATGTCACACACTCCTAAATCTAACACTGACTCAGCTTCTGAGCATCTCCAGACCACTGACCTACTATTATCACATTACCCTTTTAATCATTCAACATGGACTGGAGTCACTGGTTGCCATGTTGTGATTACTGATATGTGATTGCGAACCAACACACATAATATAAAGGGCCAGAAAATGATAGAAAAAAAGTGTCTTTTTAAAACTGTGCTAATGCATCACTGTCTTGTTTGAAATAATTCCAGGTGGATAAGCTGAAAACATTTTTCAATTAAACAAAACAGAAAAAAACAGTTGCCGATTATGATTGTCAATCATCTGTTCGTATAGCTTTAAAGGCGAGACAATTTAAGGTCCTTTAAAGAAGAAGTGAACAGAAATTTCCCTTAACTAAAATACTGTAGAAGTTGAAACAATGTGCACACCTGCCACAACAGTGACACATAACTGTTTTAGTGTTAGACAATACTCTTGATTTCTAGGAAAACACCTTGTGTTCCCACATGATGGCAATGAGGTGTCCAAATGGAGAAGAGCAGGGTTGTTAATGAGGTAGTAATAATAGAGAGGGAACTCCTCTTGAGCAGAAGGGGTTGGGTTAAGATCCCACAACCTGTATCATGTGTCATTGGCAGATCAGGAGTACCTGGCTTTCGGCTTACGGTAGCATTAAGTGGAAAGCTTCCGTTACAGCTGAGACAAAGCAGGGCAGTCTGGACTGCAAAGTCTGGACTCTGAAAGAGAACAGCTATCTGGTCGTGGCATAGGTTGGCGATTTATAGCACCTTGTAGCACTTCTCTGAATTTTTAGATCTCAACAACAAAAGGACCCTGTCAATATTCCTAAGAAAAATGCCAACTACCTACTCATTGATTAGGAATTAGAAAACAGCAATAACTTAACATTTTGTGCATAAACAAACACGTACAAAGTATCCCACTGTATGAGCTCTTGAAAAAGGTTACTGATTAATATATAGACGTCTGTCGGGGTCTGTGGGTGACCAAGACCTGAGGCCTTGAGAGGAAAGAGAGTTTACCCTCCTGACACAGTTACCCATGAACTTAGTTCACAGAGTGGGAGTCTGATAATGCCGGGGAATACCAGGCTTAACCTCAGCACCTGTTTAATGAGCCTCAACCTGGCTGGCTGATGCTAATGAGTTTACAGAGAATAAGACAGGGCTTAGGCCTTAGTGTGAGGAATTACAAGAAGATTACAAAAGCATGAACTTTCCAGTTCAAAAAAGTAAAATTCAAAATTACACAAAGGGGAGTGTAGGTCAATGAATTTCAGGAAGAAAAAAAATAAGAGAAAAGTATTACACTGATAGACTCCCTGGTTGTTCAATGCTACATTCAGGTACTGCTCGGATATTGAGGATTATCAAGTTTGGGAATCCTTCTTTTGACTTCATTGTGCTCACAATTTGAGGGAAGTCTTTCTATGTGAACAGCACGGATCGGACACCATACCGGTCCTTATGACTGTATTAGAAATACAAATTAACCAAAGAACAAACTACAAAAGTAACTTTTAAAAGCTTTTGAACATCAAACCTTTATGTTGTCTTCCATGTGTCTGCGTAATAATGACGTTAAAATCTGCCAAGTCGGCAAGTCGAGAACCAGGACTTTCTACAGCCTAATGTCAGACTTTTTGTTTTGACTTTGGGGGGGGGGGGGCGTTTCCCACTCGGAAATTCATTTCTCCGATTATTACGACACCACGTGAATGCACGCTCATGGGGCGATGAATAGACTGTAGTAGATGCATAGAAGTTTATTTTTAATCTCGCATAACGTGGTATTTATTTATTTTTTTCAATCATTTCAACTGCTGTTTATTTTCAGGAACCTAAGATCAGATGGTCACACTAATAACAGGCTACCTGATTTTTACAGTTTACCCCGAAGCTGCCCAGACACAGCTTGAAACAGACCCGGTGTCATTAGCTAATGCAAGATCACAGGCAACATGCAGCCATCAACAAGTTAACAAAGAGATAAGACGGAATAACGTACCTGGAGTTCCGATTTCCATTCATGAGGTCCTGCCCGGTTCACTACCCGGATCACAGTTGTCAAACCTTTCGGGACTCTTCCTCCGTTCAGTCCGGTGTCTCCTTCGGCAGTGCGCCGCCTCTGCAGCGCACTAGACTCCTCACAAGCTGTCAAATAGGGAGGGGGGAGGTGGGTGGGTACGGGGGGGGGGGGTCCTTTGGTACGGTCGTTTCACCGGTCAGAAGTCCTCGGTGACCCCGCACACCGCCGCTTTCACACGGTCAACGTATCCAATCAGATTTCACTGCCACGGAGAAAGCTACTGGTTGCTGCTAGCTAGCCAAGTTAGCTCTGTGTGGCCGGGCTTCGGGAAAGTGGCAGGGGGACGGAGAGGACGGAGAGCTGTCAGGATATCATAGCAGTGGAGTCACCGAGTCCCGACGAACAACCTAACGACACATAAAGGTTAAATCACAACGACATATATCTGTATTGTCGGCACAGCGAGCCTCTTGAGTTGCCAAAAAAATACGGTCAGCTAGATGGCCTAGCTGTTGGATATTTCGGAATTCTGACAAGACGACGGCCACTTCTATCGCGTTATAAACCCGACGCTGACACGGCCCCGTTGCCACAGCAACATACTCCGACGACGTCGTCTTCCGTAGTTTGTATCCCGGTAGGCAAAAAAAAAAAAGAAAAAGAAAAAAGCTGTCAACACAGACCAGAGTCAGCCGATCACTGTCAAGTTTTTTTTTTTTGTCGGGGTCCCGGTTGACAGATCAACTGTGCGGGGGCTTCGGCGAGCCAGCTAAATATGGTGAAGTTGCCTTTCTGACACCGACAGGAAGAGGTGGGCTCTGTGTCAGCAGACGTCAGAATTATGTTACTCCGCCTTCACTCAAGGTAACCCTACGTCCACCACACCGTGAATACATGAACAGGTGAAGTGTGTTCATCTCACATCAGAATATATGATATATTGGTTACTTAAGAACAAACATCAAGTTTATAGCTGTGCCTCCTCCGTTGCTGAACTAATATCAAACTCACAATTACCTATAATTCAACCAAAAAATACAATATTTAGTAATATTTAGTAATTCAGTCATAAAAAAAAACAACAGGTTTAATAAAAAACAATTTTATTTTTCTTTAAAAAATAACCCACCCCAACAGAGTTCCCATACTATCACATACAGAGCCAAAATAATACGCTTCAATGTCCTTTCATTCAAATCTATTTGGGAAGTGCTATGACAAGGACTGTTCTTGATCAGTGGCTTCAATATTGCTTAGTCAGACAGTGAGGCTGTGTGGAGAGGAGTGGACTCTGTCTCCAGTGTCCACGTGATGCATTTTTCAGGGTGACCAACATGTCGTCTCCCCCCTTTGCAAGGTGCTTTGTGGCTTCAGTGAATGAAGAACTGCATCTGGTTTCAGTGGTGCTGGGAAATGCCCCCCAGACTGATTTTTTTTTTTTTTCTCCTTTTCTTTTTTAATAAGCACAGAATGAGGGATAAAACACCAACCCCAACTGTGAAAGGCCCGGCAATTGGTGAGCCAAAATACATAACAGGTTAATATTATATATTTATATATACAAATCACCTTGGACACAATGAAGGATCAGTAAAACGGTGTACAAAGGCATATTGATTATGCAAGTTAATAAACATGATTTAAAAATCAAACTCATCTGATCTCTTATCTTTTGATCCCTTTTAGCTCAAAGGGGCTCTGACCATCAGACAAGATTTGAGGCGCTTTAAGGGCAACTGAGGTGGAATTTTGAGACAGACTCCACAGTGCCCTCTTGAGGATACACTCCGACACCAGTCACAATATTCATATTAATAATAATAATAATAATAATGACAAAGAAAAAGAGCAGTTTTTATAACCGTTACACAATCGAGGCAAAAACGACAGGCAGTGGTGAGCGCGAGGCTCCTACCTCTAAGAAAACCAAAATAAGGTGGCTCAGAATATCCAGTCATTTAAAAAAATTACATGCATTATTTTTCATAAATCCAGAAAGTGACTCAATGTAAAGGCAGGGCATTTTAAGTACGGTAGTAGTAACAGATGCCCAACCTGGCCAATGTAGCAACCCCCTATCTGTGCCGCCCATGCACACAGAGCACCAATGGGGATTGGCTAACACAAGCTAGGGGATTGGGGCACGAGATGCTGTAGGTTTGTAATGAGACAAGTCAGAATAGACAGCAAGGATAGAAGGTGAAGGGGAGGAGGGTTATGAGTGTTTGGCTTGGGGGGGTGAAACGAGGGGACAAGTGCATTGGAAGAGGTCTCTACATGCTTGGAAAGAGACCGAGAGGGCAGAGATGTGTGTGCTTCTGCTTTCCAGGCAATGAGTTGTAAATGCCTGCAGAGAAAGAGCTTTGTGTACGAATGAGGAAAAGGTGTGTATAGGTAGGTAAGCAAAGAAGGGCGTGGGTGGAAGTTTAGAGAGCACAATGTGATGTCATCTCCACTGATACGTGTTGGCCGTGTGCAGAATGATCAAAGCAAGGTCAATTTGCTGAATCTCAATTCAGCTTTGCAGCACTTAAGTGATCACAGACGTAATATTTGCCTGCATTCAAATCTACAGAGGAGTGTTGACCTTCCCTATTGCCTTAATTACCTCTTCGTTCTGAAGTCTATGAAAATGTGGGTGTGTAAACTTCAAAATAAGCTGTGTCTAGCCTCATGACAGACAAGTCTCGCCATTTCAGATTAAAAGAAACAATAAGTAAATAAAAAAAAAGTGCCTCGAAGATCCTCAAAGAGCAACGCTTACAGAAATTTAAAAAAAAATCATCGTTCTGTTCAAGTGCCCCTTTTCCATTGGTTGGCATCACTTTTGGCTGGTTAATAATGCTGGTTTAGGTGCATGGGGTGCAAGTATATTTGATACACTCTATGCAAATGGTCCCTCTATTGTTATGCTAAGCTTGCCTCTATAGGCTAAATCTCTATGGGACTGGCCAACCAGCACAGAGAGTGCGGCAGGACTTCTCTCCTGTTTCTATGATATGCTACACCTGCTCTGTCTGTCTCTGCTAATATAAAGACCAGACTGTACTAACAGGCTCCTATGTGCAGGACTGGTAGCACCTACATGCTAACACTAAGTGCTAAATGTACCACACCTCAGACTCCTCAAGGCTGTTTAAAAAAAAATAACATTATTCAAAAACATTAAAAACATCAATGTAGTTCATGACAATGACAAAAATGATACATGTAAGTGTGCGTGCACAGTACCGCCCCTCTGGAGGATCCCCATACTCTCTCATACTGGGGCTGTGAACACTGGCATCCGGCATGCGGATGGGTGCAGAGGCAGCATCGTGGTGGCAGTTACAAAAGTTTTCCGTGTTTTTTTTTCTTTTTTATCGCCTGTTTTCCTCCCATCCGTATTGCATACTTACAAACACAGGAGTGTGAAGGTAGCGTACGATACAATTACATAATAATACCCAAGTTAAAAAAAAATATAATCAACATAAAAAGAGCAATACTCCTGGTAACGTAAAAAACAATCAAATGACAATGAAATCATATCATAACCTTTGAGTGCATGAGGCTGTAGAGTCTGCCTGTATTTTACAGGTGAAGGGTCTTACATTTCTTGGATTTGGGTTAATGACTGACAGGTCTGTGGAGGATGTGTGCTAGGCAGTCATTGGGAATAAGGGATGGGGATGAGGTGGTGGTGGTGGGCCGTTTGCCCACACAGGTAGAAATGAGGTGGGAGGGATCGATGGTGGTGATGGTTGGTGTAGCTCAGGCGAAGTACATGGTCCTCAGGGTGTCGTGGTGAATCTGGACAGCTTTGGCGAGCGCCTGGGGGTCCCGACCGTTACTCTGACCAGACACATGGCTGCCCTCTCCACTGCAGAAAGAAGACGGCGAACAAAGATAAATAACTCCTTATTAAATATGCATGCTTTAAATATTTCACTGCCTCTAAAAGCAGAACGAAAAAGGTCAATGTGACAACACTTTTCTAACATAATCAAAATGATATCAATTGCTGTTGGTTGTAAAGGTTTATCTTCTCGATCTTTCACAACCACACTAACCTGTCGTGTTCTTTGTCCACCAGATGGTAGCGGGCGCGGAAGGCCACAAGACGAGCATAGTAGGCTGGCGCAGGGATGGAGACTGAGCGGGTGCAACGCACGTAAGTGTGGCACAACTGGTAGGTTAGAATCTGCAACTCGTCAGCCGTGAAGCGATTGTCGTCCCATAAGACGTAGTAATGAGATGGCCGACTGGTGCCCTGGAGACAATGAGATTAGAATCATTTAAAGGAGATGTTGTGAAAAATCCACTTTGACAGTGTTTTTCCAACATATATTTGGGTAACCTGAGTGTCTACTGACCCACAAAATGTGAAATAAACCCATCCAGTCCTTTGTGGTCTGCATAAGTCTTACAACACAAAGAAAAATGCTCCGTTTCAAATTTGCTCACCTTGTGACATCACAGTGGGATTCTGGTTAAAAAAAAAATAAAAATAAAAAAAAAACCTCCACTCCCCTAATATCTCTACCCATGAACTCCACCCCCAGCATAGAGCTAAACTTTTGCACAGGTCCACTATTTTTATTCTCGCTAGAGGAGTGATGTCTACAGGGAAAACTAAGGGGGGGGCTCATTGCATTTAAAGAGACACACACACCAAAACAAAAACAAAAAGTGTTCTCAGAGAGCTGGTTTATAATGGGTCACAAACCTCCTCTGGTGCTTGATTAATGTTATATTTTGACCAAAGCACAGCACAGATGTTTCACTTAGACCACAGGAGACTGTTTGAAAAAGGTGGAAAAGGGGGATAATATGTCCTCTTTAAAACAAACCAAATAGGAACAGCATAATACTCTGTGTGTAGGTTCTTATTTTAAAATATCCAGGGGTTTCAAAATATCACAACAATTAAAGAAGCGCATTAAACAATGTGTTTCTTTCTTACCTGTATGCCTGCATGGCTGCACAGGTAGAAGTCAAACTCAAAGGGATGCGTGATGCTGGTGTCCACTGTTGTCCCTGCGGGAATATTCCCGCTCTTCCCAATCTGCCAAGAGAGGAAACAAGATGAGAATTTTCAAATGTAGATATTACTTAAAAATTCAACCAAAAATGTGTTAAGGATAAGGTTGGCATAGTTACCCTTTCAGACTTGTCAGCACAGAAGAGGCGTGTGTGGTGGCGTTTCTGCACCACGATATAGGTGATGCCTGGCTGATAGTCCTTCTCCAACTTGATGCAGGCGTCTCTGATGGCCAGGAGCTCGTAGTGGAGAATCTACATACAAGAGCATTGTTTATTAGGAAGTATCGTTATGCAATCTAGGTTATATAAATAGTACATTTTACAAAATGTGGAAAATCCATTAGAGTTTAGCATATAAAAATACTTCCATCAGTTTTAAATGAAGTGACATGATATTACCTGCGGCAGCTGTCCCTCAGGAACTCCATCCCTGTAGAAGATGATCCTGGTGGGCTTGAAACGGGTCGATTTGTAGAACTGAATGAGCAGTTCACGCACCATGTAAGACAGATCTTCAATGATCTCCTGCCGGGGTCTCTGGACCCGCACTGTGGCACAGTATCTGCTGGGATGAGCGTCCATACTGCCTACCACCTGGAAAAGAGCAGAGGAAGAGAGTGAGCGAGGTGAGCAGTGAGCCATTTGGTATTCACAAGCACTCTGCATCGGGGCATGCATCAAATGTACGACAGAAAAACAACCGAGTAGAGAAAGTGGACATTATTGTAATTATTTAGTGTCAAAGTGTGTTTGAGAAGGAATTGTTGTAACATGTCCATATTTAAAATCAGAATCAGAACATTTTGTCTTCATTAATATTAGTTAAATTCTAAAATACTTAAAACTGTCTGTAATCAGTCTTTCTCTCTTATCTGCTGAGTTCCCCCTTGTGTATATCTGTACATTATCACCCCCTAGAGGCTGCCTCGGAGAATTGCAGGAAGCTCAATATGCACTTTGTTCCTTTCTTTCCTCAAATCCTCACACTGCACCACAGTCCTAATTTTACACCGGTTTTCTCTTCAGTCTGGAGGATCTGAGACAGACCCGCTCTCCTCTCCCATCCTCCCTGTGTGTGACTCAAGGGTTTGTCATAATCGCTAGGCAACAACACAGCCAACCACAAGCGAGCTGAGGTCAAGGGCGTACGAGGAGCTGACGTCATTTCCTGTATGAACGTGAGTCAGTGATGAGCCATTTGTTTCCCTTTATCCCTAACTGACTCCTCCATCACTATTCATTTTTTTCTCCTCCTTTTTATTCAATCAGCTTTTTTCATTGCTAGTTGAATCCTGTATGCACAAGTTCGTGTGTGTGTGTGTGTGTGTGTGTGTGTGTGTGTGTGTGTGTGTGTGTGTGTGTGTGTGTGTGTGTGTGTCGGCATTTATATTTATTCAATGCAAAAGAAGATAGTTGCATTGAATAAATGTTGCATTCAATTGTCACAAACTGTGTATAAACCTGCAGCTAATGATAGAACGGTTTTATTGAAAAAAACAAAATGAATAACGATGCTCACCCACAGTGAAGAAAGCCAGAGCAAATGAATTCAATGAATCTATCACATAAATATTTGAATAGCTCCCATCCCGGTTGTGCTTTCAGGACAGTGAAATTAATAACTTGCATATGCTGAGTTTTATGACGGACTCAAGATACTAAAGCTCTCCTGCCTTGAACAAACTGTGTACGTTTGTAAAATTCTTCTCTATTAAAGCATCGCCCTGCACCATGACTTACTGCAATTGTTACCAGGCAACGACAGCCACGTGCGTTTGCTTATCTGTGATTTTCAGTTCAGAAGTGAAGAAGCCTTTCGGAGGAGGAGAGGTGAAACGTCTTCAAGACCTTCAGCTAAGTCCAGTTGCCTTTTGGATCAAGCTTCGAATTGACCACGAGCTGGATGACTGAGAACCTACACAGACATCTTTTCTACGACATCTGCAGGTCACATTTGCATTGTGTCCCTGCCAGCTCAGTATCTGGACTGCCACCAGTGTTATCACACCACACTGTGGACGGTTGCTAACTTCATTTGGCGTGTAGTTTTTGCTTTACATAATAAAAAAAAAAGCCTCATAAATAGATGACAAAATAAAAGTTTGCATGGCTTTGAACAGACTTGGAAAAAGAGGGCTGATAGTTGGGAAGGCTGTGTTGGCAAACATTCAGACTTCTAAAAGGCTACTATTCCCCTGATAAAGTTTTGATCCACTTCTAGCCATCTGTGTATCCATGCTGACAGAGCTGCAGTATTTGGTGCTTTTTGATGTCTAACACTGGCAGCTGGGGGGACGAAACCTACCTTACAGTCAAGATAATCAGCTCTGTGAGACGTATGAATATTTAGGGCTACTTTTACATATGCACTATTACATTTTCAGAAAATGTCAGGACAGCCTGCCCCTGACATTTTCAATGTCAATGCTATGATGAGATTTTTTTTCCCTTTATATCAATGCAAGGTGTTATTGAACGTATTCACAGTATCACTCATATTGGCTGTTGCTTTCAAGGCTGCATGAAAAAACCTGAAATGATTGAAGCAAAGAACACTTTCATCTTACACTTAGATACCTCAAGAAATTGTCTGATTTTTCTTTCTACGTGTTTCTTGGTAGCAGACAGTTGTAAAGACATACTAAAACTAATAAATGAAGAAATTCTGTGCCAGACTGTTCAGCACAGGTCTACATTTCTGTTTCACGCCCCTCTACAACATCCCTGTTTTTACGACAGCCTTTAATCTTTACAGACTAAAACAACAGTTTTATTATACTGCTGAAATTGCCACTATTTTTTTTAAGTTTATTGCCCTGGACTTTGTTCTTGTAATCAAGTTATTATTTAGTATCATGATCGGAGTGATTACAAGAATTGCATTTCGGGCTTTCCAGAGCCAAAAGCACTCTGGTGTCCCTCCATTCACACACATAAGTTCAACCTGCACATCTCGACTTAGTGTGACATGTTGTCTCATTCATTCCCATTTCCAGAGCCTGTGTTCAAGGTCAGCTGATGTTGTCTAATGAAGGTGTTATTTCTGAGACTTACAGCAGTAATGGAGGGCTTCTTGCCGTCTCCAGCAGGGGGGTGCGTGACGTCTGCTCCAAGGAAGATAACCGGCTGCTGAAACACTGCTGACCTGAGAGAGGGCGAGTGCAGGAGGACATGCAAATTACAACCACTCCTGAAGGCACTGCAGGTCTCTTATGAGGGGTGGTATGAGACTCACAGGCTGAAATGCTCAGATGGAGTAGCAGATTGTGTCTAATTCAACTACCGGTATGTAGAGAGTTGCATGCAAGGATATCAGATTCACTTCAATAGGAGGGCATTATAAAACTTGTATCTAACCGTTGATGAGGCACCAGGATGTTGTTGATGCCTCCCAGCTTCACGTTGATCTTGAGGCAGAGGTTGGAGAGGGTCTGGGGGGACGTCTTCACCACGTTCTTCACCTGCACACACTGCGTGGCCATGCCCAGGAGGGTGTCTCCCACACGCTTCACCTCAGCTGCAGAACACAGTTTGGACATTTCAGAAGACACATACTTCTTGTTGTCCGTGAGTGCAAAAATGCACACAGACTACATCTAGCACACACAAAAAAATAACTTAACCTACCATAGACAGGAGTTTTCCCAGGCAGGATGACGATGATGAGCTGCAGCCCAGAGTACGTGTTCTTCAGGTGTCTGAACATGGGCTCCACGCTGTCCGCTCCCTGGGCGTATTTGCAGAAACATGGCTGGCCCTGGATGGGCATCCCAGCATCCTTTGAGATCTTGCGCAGCTGGTCTGTGAAGTTTCTAAAAATGAAACCAGAGTAGTTCAGACAAGATTAAACAAGCTGATGCTGACATTTTTCTACTGGTATCCCTGCCCTGACATCAGGAAATGATTCAGAGATGATAAATGCAGTTAAATTGCAAGTGGAAAGACAGTCTTGGCACTCTGCAATGCAAGACTGCCTGAGACTTGAAAGGGTAAAGATTTCAATTACCACAAGAAAAAAAAAGAATTTTTACCGTAACTACTCATGAGTACTTACTTGAGCACCTCCTCCCTGCACTGTTTCTGGGGGGCAAAGCATGCAATCGCCCACACCTTGATCTCAATGCCGTTATAAAACTGCTTCCCCCTCATGTCCCACACTCCCTGGTTGGGGGTAGCTATGGCGCGGTTCTGTGGAGGAGAGGACCGGAGGAGGTTTTAATTTAAAGCAAATCAGGTCAGCTTTTCAGTTAAATATGTGCACTGCTTTGTGTGAGAAAATGCAACAGAAGGAGTTCTGTTTGGATTGTCAGTACTACCATAAAAAATGTTTTTAACTAGATTTTCTTATTCAATCATAGATTTATTACCCGTCCTCCGTACTGCAGGATCGGAGCTGGAAGCACCCTGCCCGTCACCTCAGCCATGTCATCTTTCACCTTGATCCCAAACTCCTGAATGTACGGGTCCAGGTTGAAGTTGGCGTTCTTCATCTGTGGAAAGTGAAAATCGTGCATCATATTTCACATAAATCAGAGACAAACATTCCATCCATAGGCTATTGGTACATCAATGTTGAGACCTTCATCCATCCAGCTGTCTCTACAACTCACCAGCCGGCTGATCTCCTCCTGCCTGTCGGGTGCGGACCGGGCTGTGGCTTTGATCATAGTGGAGGTCTGATTATCTGTCAGCTTCTTGATGCATCGTTGGCCTGCTACAATGTTACAAACCTAAAACGAGTACATACAGAGAGAACACTGGTTGTTTGCATGCACTGGATAACTTCCCGAAAAATCAATGTGTATGCTGTTGCCGCATAAAAACATTCAGAACAAGTTTAATCTAACATACAAAATAAATTGTGTGACAGTGAAATAGCTCACCTCAAGGGGCAGGTAAGTGTGCTTCTGCTCCTGCCCCACCTGTAAACATGGTAGGTGGGGATATTTTAGCTGCAGGTTGTACTTCTGCTTGAAGTACTGAGCCACTGTACATTCTACCGTCTGACCACTTTCAAGCTGGAGGGGAAACCTGGGAGGAAAGACAAAAAACAACAGGTGTTTTTATTTTTTGGTGAAATGGACACACACACTGATGTGGTAGTCGTGGGTTTTTTAGATCCTCAGTGGATGCAGCCCTTCATGGTGGCCCATCAGTTACAAATGTCCCTGATTGGCTAATCAAACCCATAGATGTCGCCCTTGAGCACCAGCATGAAACCAAAACAAACTGTTGTTTGGCGACACCTCCGCTATTCTGAAGCCTCCGCTCTCCTCCAGCGGCACACCTCCAACCTCCCTCCACTCGCGTTCGCACGAAGGAGTTAGAACGCATCATAGTTAAGCACCATTAAGCTCAAGCAGCGGTCAAATTTGTCCTGAGTTTGAGCTGCAATTGCCTGTGGTCTTCATTGTTGTGTTAGCAGGCTAATGTTAGCACACTTTGGTTAACTCACAGCATCATATCGCATGTAAATTGACACGGTATGACTGTGATCTTAAGACACTTAGGTTACATCCAAATAAGCAGTGAGTATGTTATTCTTCTTTTCTCTAGTCCTCGATTAAAACAGCTTTATACACAAGGCCATCCCGCCAAGTAAACATGACGTAAACACAGCCAGGCAACAGTACAGCCAGCGGGACTCGCGCTTCCCTCTCATTGTAGACAGTCATGACTCAGAGAGACATTTACAGAATCTTCCTTTAACCAAATTTTAAATCAAGAGGAACCTTGTGTACTACATCGTGGGGAGTTTTTTCTGCACAGAATCTTTCCGAGATGGCTGAGAAATTGGGAACTTGACCTGCAGGAACTAGTTAGCTCCTGTAGCAGAGGAGTCAGATAGCAAGAGCTTGAGGGACAGTCAAGTTGGCTATTGTTTTAAATGAGGGGAAAAATACAAAAAAAAAAAAAGAAACGCTGAGCAACTAAGACTAAACGTAAGGTAAAATGAATATCCATATTACACTCATCAGAGCACCAAGTTCAGCATCCCTTTAATTCATTCACTTTTTGTAAACATCATGCAACATTTATACCAGAGACAACAGTGGCTTTTTGTTTCCTCGTATGTGAAATTTGCATTTCAAATGACATCCTCGTTTTTTTGAAACCCTCAGTGCAGTCTCGTCTTCATGGCTCCTCAGATGTCTTAGAAACTCAAACAGGGATGTGCAGCCGAGGGGATTTTTTTTTTTACCGTGCAGTTTATTTCCTAAAATGTGTTCATGTGGCTAGGAGGTTTGAGGAACAATAAAGTTGCAACAAGACAACCTCTCCGTCAGACTGTTTTGCATATTCATGTGGGTAATTCAAGTTTTTATGACCAGTTGGGGGATACTATCATGATGGAGTCAATTCTGCCAAATGAATGTAATATGATGTCATTAAAGGCTGTCTGGGTACTTACGTCTGGTGGCTGGCAGGCCGTCTGGTGACATTGCATACACGATACTTCCTCTTCATTTGGCCACAGTGGGTCACCTCCACCTTCAGGCCTGGGTGCAGCAACACGCATTAACAGAGACGGACATAGTTAGACCAAAACTATGAGCAGAGAAATGAAAAGAGCTTCTTGTGAAATAACAACAAAACACCCAAATTACAAATGTTTGAGAGCTAATCATGGTGTGTTTGGAACACAGTAGCCCACCTTTAATCTCCTTGGTGAAGCGGACCCTTTGCGAGTCAGTGAGAGTCTTGGGCTGCTCGTCAATATTGCGGATATCCAGAACCTCACACATGAACTCAATTACAGGCTGGGCTTTGTAGAAGGCCGTGGCAGACACTAGAGGGAGACAGAGAGCAGCAATAAGACAAGTCAGAGAGGAGCAACCTAACATAATGTGCAAGTACTTCCACAACTTTGATGAGCCTCATTTTTTCCCAATTGTAGGGCAAGTATGTGTGATCCAAATCAAAGTCACAAGAAGCCAACAGAAAGGAGAACAGCTCCTTCTCTTTATGATATCATTATTGTATATCATGTGGTCGCTTATTCAACAACTCTTCCGGGGTTTCAACTCGTTTTTCACCATTTCTGTCCAGTCACACCATATCAGGAAAAAACAATGAGATCACCGACTGACTAGAAACGCTGATGAGAGCATGTCTATAGTGACTCACCATCAATGTTAAGCATCATCTTCCACATGGCAGGGCGCACAGACTGGTGGAAGCCAAACCAGACTTCCCTCCCCCCACCCAGCGGGTGGTAGTATCCTTCAGGTGGGGAGAAAAATGAACGGCCCACAGGAGTGTACCTGATGGGAGGAGGAGAAAATGATGAATGCGCAAAATGACTCGACTGAATTCAAAGCGTGACCTCAGCGTGACTTCATGTCCAGTAAACCTGAAGTCTCTTGTTGGAGGTTTCAGCATCAGTTGACTCTTTAACTGATATGTTAAGAACAATACCACCTACATTACTATTCAGGAAAAAGTGTTGTAACTTCTAGAAACCATTGGTTTTGAATTAGACTACATTTGGGACACAAGATCTCTGAAGTGACCTTTCTGCATCTTTCAGACTCTGTTTTTAAATCCATTTTCAGGTCAACTCCTCGAGCCAGTTATCATTATTCCCTCTGCTCAGCATTGTTCAGTGGACACTTTCACACAGGTCTCAGCTAACGAGCATCTTTTGTTTGGTGACTCTGACCCCTGGAGCTATGGCGGCCTGATGCAAGTGAATGCAACGTCCCAGTTCACCTTGCTATGCTGCTCGGCTTTTATGTCAACAAAAACTTGACTTAACAAACCCAAGACAGACGTTCATGTAGGGGGGGGGGGGAAGGGTACCCAGCGTGAGTCCGTACTTGT